TTTGTCAATATATAGAATTTTGTAATGATGGAGATATTAAAACAGCAAAACGCATGGGAGATATAAAAATCGAAGTTTATTTTTATTGGAAATTTTTAATTAAAAATATTTTCAAATAAGTCGCATAATCGTTTAAATATTTAAAATTCATTATTTTATATGTATTACTTGAAATGTACATTCATATATTACTTTTATTCAATAATGTTTGTAATTAAATATAACTATCCTAATTAATAAGGCATGATTGGATTTAATGCGAGTGCATACATGTACAAGGCGAAAGGCACGTATTTTCCTGTATTTCATCTCACAAAATATCTCGCTACTTCAGGACTTTTACTTATTTTATTATAATGCATTCTTAGATATAAATAACTTATAGTAGATAGTAATAAAAGAGATACAGTCGTGTTCGCTTATGTTTCCTTACAAACGTCAATTGGACGGAAATCTCAATCGCGAACGAACACAAATTTTTGACGATTTTATTTACTGGGAAGACGGGCAATTATGTGAAATGCATATCATTTTCATTGGCATTCATATCTATTCTTTGTTCATATTGATAAGTCGATCTCCGATAGTAAATGATTTCCTATTTATTTATTATCATTTTCTTATAATTATTCTCACGGGATTTATAAATAAATACGGGGTTTCGTGCAACGCTACTGCGAGAACGTTATAACTTTTTCTTCAAATTAACATATACAAAAGAAAATAAATTAGACTATAGAGCGATGTTAATAACAAATAGCCACTTGTCAGTCATGTCTAGATAAAAGTATCACTAAGGAATTAAAACAGAGTGACTCCCAAGTGGAGATAGGAAAACTTCATCATCGCACATTAACGATCTACTGATTGCCAGGAGATGATAATCGCCTTTGATACGGATTTTGAAGTAATCGTGGAGAACATTCGATCACGCGTAACAGCAACGCATCGATATAATCCTCCAGATCTGTGAGTCTCTTATTCTTTTCTGTGACTTGCGTTTGCAATTGCAATGCCAATTCTATCAGATCCTGTAAATGAAATATATGCGTATGAGTATGAATATACTTAATAAAAAATAATAAAAGTTTCAATTAATTAAACCTAAAAAATAATTTTATTCTTCGATATTTACTTCTCTTGATTTTCCCTCAAATTGGTTGAGAACTTCATGTGGTAAACGAGAATTTGCGGCATTTTTAACGGCGTCCTCACCGCCAATGATTATTCTTTCGGAAGACAAGTGATTCTCGTCGTTAATATCTTTGAATTTGTTATCTTTGTCCTTTTTCTTATCTTTCTTCACGTGTTTTTCTTCCTTGAGACTTAACGGGCCATGTTTATCATCCTTCTTATCTTTTAATTTATCATCCTTCACGAGCTTCTCTTTACTGGCGAAAAGTTTTTCTTTGCTCGCAACGAGTTTCTCATCTTTGTTCCTCGGATGAAGAATTTCTCTTGGTGCCGGACTGGGTGGTTCCGGAAGATCTTTCAATCTCGATGTGATTGGTGACGGCGAACGAATGGGTGATACATCACATTTATCCTGTAGCTCGTCCACCACAATCTTAGGTTTGCTCTCCCATCTGATGAACATACATATAACATTGTTTCATTGCTTATATGTTTCATTTGATAAATTTATTCATTATATTTTTATTATTAATGTAACAATTCCATTATTAAGAATTTACCGAATCATAAAAGGCGTTACTGATCCTTTCTTATTTTTTCTATTTTTATTTATTTATTTTTCTTAAAGACAAACCTTTTACCTTTTAGGCACGCTGCTCGCCTGCTTGCCATAGAGCTTCAAACCCCATTCGTCATCCTTCGTTAAATTGTCGACTTTTGATAGATTTGTAGTAGACGCGCTCATGACAAATCGCGGTGGTTTACTTGGGGCTGCATTGATTGGCGCGGATGGTGTGTTCACTTCGCTAAAGACGTTGCTCTGCGAACCATTCGAGATGCTATTTGCATTGCCATTATTAACAGCCGGATGCACAGGCGCATTTAACGATGAAGCCGAGCTTTTGTGGGACAAATCGTCGAACTGTAACAGATTAAAATTATTGAGATTGTATCTAATAAAAAATATAAGATAAATTTATTTTCATTTCATGTATATGAGAGTATTTCTACATCCCCTAATTTTATATACTTTTACAGTTTATCAAATGAGAAATAAAATTAATCAAGTCTCCTACTCGTCAAGCTTCCCAGAATTAATACACATTAATTAATTTTAATGTATCGTTATTACAAATATTGAATACGATTTCATTAAATATAAATATCGATAATATCGTTAGAATAAAGCTTGCTCTCATTTACCGTGAATTCATCTTCGTCTTCACTAATAACTCCGGGATCAGCCTCACCCGGTTCCTGCCGCGTAATTCTGAACTCGCGTTCCTCCTTCTCATCCAGATTATTTCCATCAAGCCGATTTTTGCTCTTGCCTTTGACTTTATTTCCGATCGACTTGGCTAGCTTCTTGAGGCCCTTACGTTTTTCAAGGCTGCCGATACTGAGCAAACTGCCACCAATCGACTGCGCAGCAGTGGACAATTGTCCCAAGGAGCTTTTGTGACGTTCTTTCTTACTTAAGTCGGTCAAGCTTCCTGCTTTCACGATGAAACCGATCTTCACTTCGAGCTCGCCTCTCTCCTTTGTATTTTCTTTGCCCGGTTTACTGTTAAGGGCGTACCTATAATACAAGCGCATTTATTCTTTCAGATTGACAATGAGCAAAACGCACGTATAGTCATAAAAAAAAATTTCACATTCTTGTAACATTGATTATTTTTCTTCAGTTGCATATGTGACATTTTCATAAATGTGTAAAATATCGTGAATTTGTTTGTTTGCAAAAATGTAAAAACGAAATTCAAGAAAAAATGAATATACGCGAAATAGTATGCGTAGACAGGGATGAGTTATATAAAAGGTGCGAACTCCAAAAGAAAGTACACATATTTAACTGTGTAAAAAATATTGCCACACAAGGCGAACGATCGATCATAGCATCGCGCAGCAACAATCCAAAAAGGAATGTGGCTAATTAGAGTGAGATAGGCGGTACACCGTAAAACGCGATGTTTTCTCTTTCCCGAGCGACTTTTCTGTGGGCGTGAAGTGTAGGAGAGCGGGAAAGCGGAGGGGAGGGGGCGGGGGATTTGCATGAAACGCAATTTGCAATTAACGCTATCGCGGACGCACCATCTGTTCCTAGGTCTCTCGTACACGTCGAAGCTGGAGAGCGGTATGCTGACGGTGCCGAGGAACTCGTCGACACCCAGGAAGTTGCGGTGCAGAGCGGTGAGGACGATCTCCGCGGTGTTCCCCTGTTCCGGGATCAGCAGCTCGCATTCCTCGTGCCATTCCACGTCCTTGGTGGCCTTCTCCTTCACCGATGTCTGGTACTTTTCCTTGCCGAGCGCGATCGTCACGAAGCAGTCGTTGCTCTCTGCGTACACACGTTTTACAATTTGGCACATGTCGCGTCACGACGTGGGCGAGAGGTCAGTTGACCAGGTCGGAAGATTAACGAGATGTGCGTAACGGGAATTAGAGAGATCTCACCCGGTGGAATATGGCATCGTCTGCTCTCAATCGTCGTAGAGAACGCGTGGGAGCTCGCGGTGAAAAGAAAGAAAAAAAAAAAGGAAGAAGAAGCTTCAAGCTCGATTCATCTGATAGCGTTTTCGACCCTGTAGAGGGTTTAAACCCAATCCGAAGTGATGTTAGAACTTAAAGTAGAGCATGTGACGTCATTAATCTCTCGAAAATGCTATTAATTGAAAAACGTTGATCGGTTTGCGCGCCTTTGGCTCGCGTGTTAATAATACATACGATAGAATTCAATTATTATTTAAATAGAGATTGATATATGAAATGGGGATAATTCAATTCCCCTTCGCAGGTGCAGATAATGGAACGTAATTTAGTTTGATAACATATGACGACTATCGAAGCGCTTCTAATTTATATCTTTCCACAGATGCAAACCTTCCATTAGTCATGTACGTTCTCTCGTTAGCAGCGTTGCGTTTACTTATTTTACCGCTGCAGCTAATAAATATAGTAATGTCACAACGCATATACAGCGCGAATGCGCATCGAGAAGTCATTAACTCCTCGCGCAATTACATTGATTATTAGGTCGAGGAGATAGCATACGCATTCACGTCGTATATCGGTTGCGGCTGAAGCGCCAACTTGTAAAAATTTTAAAATGTGCACGCGCGTGAAAGTCCTGCATCTCAATCATTTTCTTTTTAAATCAATGGAAGTTAAGAAAATTCAATTAAGAAAATTCAACAAAAAGACTTTAGAATTTATCTTACGTCATAAACCTATTATTTTTAACAAATAACAGCGAGTAATATAGTCGGTTTCTCGGCAAGCAGGATCTTGGTTGCTAAATCTTTTGTATGAAATAAATCCTTTTATTTTTACTTTTATTTCTCAACGCGTTTGAATTCATTTGGATGAATATCACATCTTCATTTTACACTCTTTTCAAAAAAAACCTCGACGCGTATTCATTACAGTAAAAAACGTAATCGGCACATAAAGTGGCACAAGATTTTGCAGCGAATCGCATTACTTTGATTTTGCTGAGGGATCATGTATCGTGTCACCTTAAACGATATTCGGGTTTTGGTGCAATGTGTTTGTTGATATGACGACGTGTGTATGAAAATTTTTGTGCGCATTGTTTTGCAAACTCGAATCACTTTGCCAGCGAAAATCGGATGATTCATGACCTAAAATAGCCGCGGAATACGAGGTCACTCGTGGTATCGGCGTAACACGCGAGCAACGTGTAGGTAGGTAAGAAACGTGACGATGCACGCGTATCAATAAATGAGAGAAAATGGATGACAGTTGAGAGTTATCGAGAGATCTTAAGAGATGTTATCGTGCAGAGTGCAGAGTGCCTCATCAAAAAAACGCACGGGATATTAGGAGGCTGAAGAGATTTTTATAAATTAAATAATTTTCAGATATTTTAAACTTGAACTTTATACTCTTACAAATGAAAGGAAAGAGAGTATTAGTAAGAAAAAATTTGCAAGTGCAATTAAGTTAAAAGCATCATACTCACTGTGCTTTCCTTTAGTCAGCAGGTCCTTAGCCCTTTGAACTGTAAATAAAGAGAATAAAATGTTAGCAGATGAATACAGAATAAATATCGAGTGAGATGTCGTTTAGAAATGTATTGAAATTTATGTTACTTTTATCTAACAAGCTCACGTAAAATAGACACTTGCGACATAAATTGCCAACTGAATAAGATAATTTAGTTGGGATTAATCTTTCAGTTTCGAGCTGTTTCGTAAAGATTTCATTAAGATTAACGACGTGCTTATAGCTCACAAATAGATAAACAGGTATATGCATACAAAATGTTGCCATGTTCAATCATTTATATCGCATGCTGGCATTTAAATATTAATGCCGTAAAACGAGGCGGTAAGCCAAACGTGAAAACGAAGATTTCTTTAACAGCTCTCGCACATCTAGTTTTTTCTTCTTCAATCGACTTTCCTCGACCTGTGGCCACGAGAAAATCTCACGTTATGGCTTTCACGCGTAATCGTTCTTGCTTATATCAGAGTAAAAGCTACGTTGCACGTATATATATATATATATATATATATATCAGTTACCGCCCCGATATGATTTCGCGATAGCAAGAAATCAGTCATCGTTTGCCATCCTCATCTATTATTTTATATCATCGTTTACGCCTTCAATATTAACGTCACAACAGTGTTGTTAAGTATAAAGATTATCAAATTTAAATATAAGCAGATATTTTAGTGATTGTATTGTGTATGATGTATGAGTGATATATTCAGTTTGCATTCAGGTTGCTATTTTACAACTTGTTTAACATCTCACAATCACAATAAATAAATCTCGAAAATGAAGTAAGAGATCAAGAATTTTATTTTATACTTTTTAATAAATAATTGAACTTGATTGGTCATTAAATTTTATTAGATTTCAATATGCATCAGTATGCAAAATGATGCATCGTGGAAATTGATGCATCGTTGAAATTTGCTTGAAATCAAGAGAGGGATTCATTTATTAAGTCTTCGTGCAATTTCTGTGAAACCTTGAACCGAAATATGGAATTTAAATAATAAAATCACACGATTGCAGCATTCTCAGGCATTTTCCGGCAATTTCATCGCCCTACAAACAACTCTTTTCTCATCTTCAACGAGATCAAAATTAAAGACAAGAACTTGAAGCAGAAAATCGAAAAAAATATTTGTTTGATTGTTTTCTCGATATTACTTTCTGCTTCAAGTTATCATGACATTGACCTTTACAGTAATGTGTAAATCATTGTTTGTCGAACTTGAAATCTGAATCCACATAATAATCCCGGCAAGATCTCGTAAAATAATTATTGAACGAACGACTGCGATAAAAGAAAAGGAGGGAAAGAAACC